GTGTGTGTGTGTGTGTGTGTGTGTGTGTATAAGGGGCCCAAACCAAGTACTGAGTACATATGCATGCTTATACTTTTCAGAGGTCCGATATTGTTCTATGTACAACCCTTGTTTTATTGATAGCATACACACACACAGAGAGAGACACATATACATATACATATACATATACATATACATATACATATACATATACATATACATATACACATATACATATGAACCACAGTGGTCGAAAGTCCTATTGCTCAATGGTACAAAGTCCTCTTTTCTGATGAGAGCAACTTTTGCCAAAAGCACCAAAAACAGGTTCAATGACCATGGGGATCACTGTGCTTGATTGGCCTCTCCATTCTTCCTCCATACTCTGGGTCCGTGGTTTCCAAATGAGATGCAAAGGTTGCACGATATTCTAATTTTTCGAGTTTCACCTGTATATAGCAGAGGTGGGTTCCTACCTGTTTGGCCTGGTTCGGCCGAGTAAGTAATAACTCAGCCATGCCCCCGAACCGGTTCTATCTTCTGCATGCACAGAAGCATTTTTAAACCATGCACGCATAGTGCGCATCAAGCACATGTGCCCCCAAAGTGCATCCCTGAGCAAACCGGCAGTAGAAGCCGGAACCCATCCCTGGTAAATAGCATGTGTATATGTGTGTCGTATATGTTTTTGGGTATACACTTTCTCTTGAGAGCAGGCAACATAATTTAATTTTTAATGTGGCCAATGAGCGCACAGTAAAAAAATGACAATAAAGGTTTATCCATCCACCCATCCATCCATCCATCCATCCATCCATCCATCCATCCATCCATCCATCCATCCATCCATCCATCCATCTATCATCTATCTATATCATTTAGCCCCACCTTCAATCATCAGAAAACAAAGAGTTCTAGTCCAGCCTTAGACGTGAAAACTGATTTGGTGATTTTGGGCCAATCACCAGGAAATGGTGAGTTCTAATCCTGCTTTAGGCATGAAAACCAGCCCGTTGACTTTGGGCTGGTGACTTTCTCTCAGCCCAACCCACCTCATAGAGTTTGGGGGGGAAAATAGGAGGAGGAAGGAATATTAGGCATGCATACCAAACCTTGAGTGACTTATAAAATAATAAAGATGGGATAAAATAACCAACACGAATATTTCCCATGTTGTCTTAGCAGACTAGAAACATCCTGTTCTCGTGCTCCCTCACCTTCTCATTAATCAGATCCAGGCTGAGCCCTCGGGTGCGCGTCGAGAGGTCCACCAGCCCTCGGCGGTTGGCGGCATTCTGCCGATTGAAAGCTTCCCTTCGGGACATCATCAGGTGTTCTGTGCGACGCCTGGTAGCAGCTGATTGGCTGACGGGGCTGGGCACAGCCAAGGTCGAGGCATTTGCCTGGTGCTCTGCTTCGCGTGACTGCACAAAGGACTGGCGGACGCTGTCATAGACCCCTGCCGGGGGAGGAATTATTTAATATAAGCATCCCAGGGACTCCCCCTGGGCAGTAAAACCTCTCTCACTAGACCTGCCAGAAATGCTCCTAGAATCATTAACGCGTTTCCTAAATTCCCGCTTGCGGGAAAGAGACAATACAGAGTATGATTTGTTTCCACAGCACAGTTGTAGATACCAGTTTCAAACTAGGTGAAATACTCCTTTCTTTCTCATTAGAATCGGTTTACTCTGTTGGATTTGAGAAAACCTAGGCTAGGAGACAGGGGTGGGATGCTGCTGGCATTGCTGCTGGTTCGGTGCCTCAAAAGTTTTACCGGTGACCGATTCACAAATGTGAGTGCTCCACCTTCCGTGCATGCGCTTTGCCTAAAAAAAGGTCCGTAGAGCTGGGGCAGGTGGGCGGAGCCACCCACAATTTCCACTACCGGTTGGATTGAACCAGTCAGAATTGGCAGAATTCTACCTCTGGTCTCTAACCCTAACCTTCTTTTACGACTTTTTGAGAAGCAAAGTCAATGTGGGAATCTGGATTCACTTAACAACAGTGTAACTAATTTAACAACTGCAGCGATTCACTTAACAAATGAAGCAAGTAAAGTCGTAAAATGAGGCAAAGCTCACTTAAAAGAAATTTCTCACTCAGCAACATAAATGGCACTGTAGGGAGGGGGAACTGATTAGGTGGTTCCGCCCCAGGCGCCTGATGGACCTTATGGGATTTCAGACGGCGCTTGAATAAACACCTGACACTCTCGTCCACAATCCGGTCGAGTCCTTAGTCACTGCCTGGAATACAGCGGCGGCGGGGGGCTCTAAACCGGATTGCGCCTTTGTGACCTCTCCGAGGCAGCGGAT